AAAAAAAAACATACCTCAAGGCTCTAACACAGAAAAACTAACTTCATTCCAAGATTTTCGAAAGATTTATAGCCATAATTTATCGTGAAACTCGATATAACAAGAAATCCCCAAAATTGATTTTGAAATAGAAGAGCTACCGTTTATCCACGAAATTAGGTTTTGACCTGAACTAGGCCAATCAAGAATCAGTGAACAGAGCATACACAGGAATAAAATATAACATTCATACAAGGATTCAAAGATAAAATTGATGATCTCTCCGTCTAGTTGCAACAATAACAGTAAAGGAAAAGAAGGCATGATACAAGACATGGTGGAGTACAACACATGGTGGAGTACAACACAACAAAGATTAAATTGCTTACTGAGAACTCCCGAGTCACCAGTGAGCTGGATCTGAGTGATGCTGGGGTCGTTGGTATTCCGGTCAATCGCCGCCAAGGGTGACTACCTCGCTGCAAAGAGAGGAACAAGAACGTCAGGGAGCTCGATTCGTAGCTGCAAAATCTTGGAAATGGACTTGGACACATACCTGGAAAGAAGCTGAAGGGGCTGAGATGAAGTGAAAGAAGAAGGTTTCTCAAAACCACCATAGTTGTAGATCTGGACTAACCAATGTATTTTGGAAAGTTCCTTCTGTATTTTCTTTTGGTATTTTTGTTTTGTTTGGATGGTGACATTTGTAGATATGAATGAATAAAAGGTCCACATGACCACAATTCACTTTTTTTTTTTAAATGTGGGTAACGTTTTACACTTAAAACGTTACTCATAGTAACGTTTATTTATTTAACATCGTCAATCCCGTCAGTTTTTGTCCGTTGAATTTTTAAAATAAAAATAACCTAAAACGTTACCATGAAGTACGTTTATACTACTTTTGTAAAAAGTTTAAAAAGCGTATTAGTTTGGTGGAAAAAAATTATAAAGCGTATTAGTTTGATAAATTGGTTTTAAAAATAGCTTATTTTGGTAAAAAATTCATGGCCAGTGCTATTGCCTGGCCAGACGCCATGCATAATAAACCTCTGTGTGTCGATCGACGGTTTACAGTGAATTCCCGGATACCCACATAGGGTGGGAGGCCACTGTATGATGAAAGCCAGGTAATTAAAATCGCTTTGACAAGTTGTTACTCTGATGAACATTATCAAGAATAAGTAGATTACACACATTTTTAATATTTTGGTGTGTGTAACTTACCTTATATAATGTCTATTTATATTAAATTATTAATACAATATCATTTAATATTTATGAAGGGAAGGGTATATATAGTACTAGTAGCTTACTATCATCTTATTGGATGCTAAAAATCCATAACCCAATAAATTTTTTTTCATAAAACCCGTTAATCCAATAATATTTTTTTCGATTCGGTTTTTGCACACCCCTACTATATTTTATAATGTAAAAGCATTCCATCTTCCACGTCCAGCTTTTCCCAACAAGGTTTGTATCATGTCTCCAACAAAAAACTAGGAGTGGCCTCCATGCACCTATGCAGTGGGTAATGCAAATCCAGCTTTAAAATAAGCATATAAGGCTAGGAGTGGCCTCCATGCACATAGTGGCGTACGCATAATTTTTTTGTAAGCCATGTCACTTTTAAAATGAAAAAAATAAATATTAAATTTTGTATATAAATTATAAAACACAATTCATGTATATTATTATATCTTTTCTAAAAAATAAAATAAAAATATATTATAATTCTTTTCAATGAGTTTTCTTTTCTGTGAAATGTATTCAAAATAATTTCATTAATAATACTAAATATTTATACAATCAGATTTTCATCCCTTAATCTCCATTCTCTTCTCTCTCAAACTCTAAAGCAACACTCTAAGGAAAAATCAAAGTAGAACACTTTCATTCTAGATTCTTTCAATCTTTTTCAAGATTCTTCTTCAAGGCAAGTCTTTCTCCAAGAATTACATTCTTATTTTCTTGATTGTTTTAAAGAAAAAACACATAAAAAAATAAGGTTGTGGAGGCTTGAATACGCAACCTGATCTATAAAATTTCAGCCAAAACCAGCTAAGCTACACGCATCTCTTGTTATTAAAGGAGTGTCGCCTATAACATATATAGATAATATATGCTTTATTTGCTTTTGTTTCGTAATTGTATTTACTTGTTCAGTAGTGTCACTTGACACCCTTTCCCCCTTCCTAAATCCGCCCCTGCATGCACATGCAAACCATATTTTCTTATTCACTACATATATACTTCATCAACTCAAAGAATTCTAGCACTCTAAAAAACTCAGCAACTGGATCTCATCATAGTACCACAAAGTTGCAACTTGAACACAGATAAAGATATTGTTGAAAGTTCAAATACAATCATGTCAACATGATCACTATACGAGTCATGGACAGAATGCAGTAGTAAAATTGAGAAAATGCATAAAATCATCCTTGAACTTATTTCAAGAAGTCAGTTACACGCTTAAACTATTATAGTGATCTATTCAAAAATGAATTTTTTTACCCCTATAATTGACATGTCAAAAAAAGAAAAAAAGAAAAACGCGTTAAATAAAAAATAAAGTAAAAATAATAATCAAAATCTTCTTTCTACCCACACCCCATACTCCCCTACTCATCTTCTTCATCATAACATCCCCACCTCCTTTTACTTCTTTATTTTTTTCCCCATTATTTTTCATAGCTGATTTTCATCCACCCCTCCCCACCTCACCCATCTCCACCTGAATCCTCTTTCCCCCCACCACTCATCTCCAATTATATTCTATTTTAATGATTATTTGATTCACATTTTTATTATATCCGATTTTACTCTTCGATTTTATTGGTGGTTGATAAAATTGATGATTGATTTTAAAAAATAAAATATAATGATGGATCTGTTGGTACATATTGAATTTTGTGGTGGATCTTTATGATTTTTGTGGGAATGAAAGTGATAGCGTGATTTTGATGGTGAATTTATTAGTAGATGGTGAAATTTGTGGTTGGTGTGGTGAGACAGGAGCTTACAAAGCTTAAAAAGAAGGTTGTAGCTTAAGAATTTTTAAATAGTAACAATTTTGAAAGTTGTAATTTCACCTTTGCGAATAAATTTGTTTACCTGAAGAGAAAACTCTGTTTGTTTTGTTTTTATTTTCTTTTCCATTTTTGCTTTGTTTTAGATTTTCTGGGAAGATATTTTTTTTTGTTCTATGATGGCGAACATTTTGTTTCAAAGAATTCTTGCTGAGTTATTACATATTGTTTTGTTGCACTAGAAAAAAGAGAAGATTTTTATGGTGAAATATATAGATTTGGTATTAATATGATGGCAATGTTAGTGGTTCCATGGTGGTGTTCATGGAAGAAGAAACAATTGAATGACATGGATAATTTTATTTGAAACTTGACATGACATCTGATGTAGCAATGAGATGACATTAATTTAGCGCAAGTGAGATACACTTTCGAATGTGAGAGTGGTACTATACATCGCAGGTAGTAAATAAATTCACTTTTTAGTAGTATAGGTGTATGTGTAATAAGTCGCTGTGATAGTTTAAGCGTATAGCTGACTTTTCGAAATAATTTCAGCGATAAATAAGTGACTCTCAAATGAGTGCTTATAGCAACCTCTAAGTTGTCCATCTACAAAGTTTCACACGAACCAATCCATATTATTTTATATCCCTGCAATTTCATCACCAAATAAACTACCTTAACATAAACCCACAAAATAATCCAACTAATTACTTGTTAAATTCAATTTTAAGACTAATTGTTAAATTCAATTTCCTAAAATTTATGAGTACAAAACATATTTCTTACTTATACGGATTTAGGGAAGAAAAGAGGGTAGGGAAATTAATGAGTATCAAAATATGTGAAGAGACTATAATAATTAAAACACTTGGCAAGATTAGAATGGGATATCCTTCAAAATAAATGTACTACTATCATGTTTGGAAAAAAATAATAGTAACTCGATCTTTGCTTTTGTTTTTTAAAAAGCGAGTATATATATAAAATGATCTGTTTTTAAAAATATAAAAGTCCATAAAAATGAAATGTAGGATGCCTACTATTTATTTATGTATTTTCCTTTTTCTTTAAAGATAAATTTAATGATAGTAAAATGGTAACAGATCTGAAGACTAGGAATGAGGAACTTTCTTCCTTGGAAGCGATTAGGAAGCCATAATCGCTTCTGTTGAATCAAATTTCTCCAATCATAGTTTGATGGATGATAATTTTCCTGAGGATATAGTGAATGAGATTTTGTTGAGATGTCCTGTCAAGTCGTTGTTGCGATTCAAATGAGCATGCAAGAACTGGTACTGTAACATCCGGCAAATTGAAATAACTAAGAAGAGGCTTAGAATTTGAAAATTTTCATTTTTGGGAAGAATTTGAAAATTTTGGAAAATTTTGGCCAAGTATGGAAAAGGTGAGTTTTGGCCAACTTTGATCAGTCATAACTTCTAGCTCAGGATGAGTTAGGTGTAGTTCCAGTTATGGTTGCATAGCTCGTGGAATGGTCTTTCTAACGCCACCGAGTTTACTCGATTCCGAGTTCGTATGAGTGAGTTATGTCATTTGAAAGTTGGGCAGTTGGCAGGGAATCCGTCCGGAAATTTTAAGGGCATTTTGGTCTTTTCCCTAGCCATTTCTCTTGAGGTTATATTGCTGTGTTAGGCTTATTGTGGATCATTTTAGTTCCATTTTAAAAGAGTTAGAGTTAGGGTTCTTGAGTGAAGAAGAGAGGAAGAGAGAAAGAGGAGAAGAAGAAGAGGAGATCAAAGAGTTTCCGTCAAAGATCGTCGTGGAAATTGTCGGGGGTGATCCCTACTAGGTATGTGAGTAGTTAGTGTTGGGTTGATCCTTTACCCCACACATCAAGCTCCTTTTTATTTTGAGAAAAGATTGGTTGTGTTGTTTGGAGTTGTTGGTTATGTTGTTGGTATTGTTGAAGTCCCTTGTGATTTGGGACATGTTTCCGGTTGGTTTTTGAGTTGTATTCTATTGTATGTTGAGGGATTTGATGATCCTTAGTGGTTGCGGTTGAAACCCTTGAAGGAAGGGTGGTTTAGAGTTAGCAAAACAAGGGAGAAAAGTCAAGTTTCTGGGCAAGGGGCTGGCGCGTCGCGCCTGCCAGCGCTCCCCAAAAGGGATTCTGAAGTTTCCCCTTTGGGGCGGCGCGCCTCTCAGAGCGCCAGCAGGCCCC